TCTTTCCTCCGGTTTCTTTATTCATGGTAGTTGTAAGGAAGAAGAAAAGACATTGCTGTCTCGCCTACTTCCATCATTTTACAGTATTCAGGGCAATTACAGGCTAGTGTATTTGTTCCCAAGATCCTTGTTTGATAAATAATAGAATGTTCCATTTCCTAGGATTGCAGATCCCTGAAGTTCTGGGAGTTTCCATGACTTCCGGAGATCTGCTCTTTCAGAGAGATCCATACGTGACCTTTAGGAGATAGGAAATGGCTGTGTGCCAGTGTGCAAGAGTTCTCCTAATCCCCTTGAGTTCGGAGTTGTTCTGTGTCAGCAAAGCACCACAATAATTCAGGACAGAAGGGCTAAAAACAAGCAAACATTGCTGTGAGCCTGGCATAACTGTCCCCAGTAAACATGTGAGGGTCTAGTCTTTATCTACATGTTGTTAAAACTTGCACCATATTTTGTTGGTGTGAATAAACTGAGTAAACTAGTGGTAAAGAGGTTAATAACCGGGATTCATGATATTTCAGATGAAATTGGTAGATACTGTGGAACAAACTGCTACTTTGTTTTTCCATCAGTTTTGATTTTTAATATATTTCTGCCTGGTCAGTGTGTCTGTTAGATTTTCTCCACCATCCCTGCTTTCCATTAACAAACGTGAGCCTAAGCAAGGTGCTCCATCGTGTAGTGTGGCTGCAGCACACCATCCTTCTTCTGGCTCAGATCCAGGGACCTGCCCTGGGCTGAGACTCCTGAGCAGCAATAGCCCAGTGGCCAGTGGAAAGATATGCAAGCCCAGCAAATGGGTGCCTGATCCATTCTCCCCGAACTGCCCTTTTCCAGATATCCTGCAAGAGCCAGGCTAAAAATTTCAAGATTGTGAAACAAATCAATTGTGCCAGAAAATTTTTTGCTAAGATGCAGTTGAACATTGCAGGGGAGATCATTTCTAGCATAGCCATCAGAGCCCTGGTTAGCACCACAGCAATGAGAGGCAGATCAAGCAGAGACCCTCGCTCCTTCATATGTCACATCTAACCACAGTGACATATATTTATTTCCATTTAAAACTCTAGAGAAGCAGGTATGTGGCTTCATCCAGGAGTGGCGCTGAGGAGGCCTCTGCGTGGCACCCCCCAAAACAGCAGGACACTGGAGAGCACATCATTCTTAAATTTTCTTAAGAGGTGGAGAATGCCTTTAGGATCATTTTGTCTAAATATGGCAATTCAGGGTTTTTGGAGCCGCAAGTTATAAAACTCACTTTTCCCTATGGTTTGGATTGCTGCAGTGAGTAATGTCCATTTATTAGTTTAAAAAAAAAAAAAAGTGAGAGTGTGGAAAGTAACAGTAAACACTCATCAACTGGTAACCCAAAAGAATTTAATTTTCTTCATTCCTATCTGCATACCAGTTTAGTCTTAATTTAAGGTATGAGCAGGCTGCACTGGGAGGTGCATTTCTGTGTAGTACATTACTGTAGTACTTTTCTTAAAATAATGCCAAAGCAAACACATTTTTAAAAAATAAGCCTAAGAAGTAAATGGTATAGTTTGTTGCCCTGCATCTGGCTAGCTGTCTCAAAGGTCATAAAATGGAGGTCCTTTGGTGGGGCAGCTGCATTTATGGAGCATATTCAGATTGGTATTTTGGCTTTAAGCCAGATCTACCTAATTTTCCATTTTGCTTCTGTGATGAGGTGGTTGAGTTGACTTCAAGGGGCAGTTTTGTGATTTGATCCATATTTGTATTAGAGAGCCTTTTAAGAGTATTTAAGATTAAAACGAAGTCTAAATAAAGTTCAAGCACAAAATAGCAGGGTTCACTTGTTTTATCAAAAGGCTGAGCTTGCTGCCAGGCACAGGCCCAACCCACTCCATCCAGCAACCCACACCTCACAGCTCTTCGTGCTCTGCAGTTCCGATGCTGTTTGCTGCGAGGCAAACACACAGGAGCCAGAAGATTTACACAGCCCCTGCAGCCTTCCAGAGTGTGGCTGTTTCTGTCTGTTCGGATGTGTACTTCTGTAGTCATGGGTGAGTGCACAGAGCAGAGAATTGGGCACAGACTGAAACCCCTGTGCCGCTGCAACAGCAGATTCAGAGGAGTGTATTGTGCTGCGAGGGTGGCACCTGGAACACCAGCAGGACATTGCCTTTGGCTGCTCCTGCCCCCACAGACTGCCCCTGAAGAAAACAGTCTCGTACTTTTCACCTTGTCATCTTTGGCAGCACTCCTGGGCTTAGCACAAGTGCCTCTCTCTGCTGGGAGAGCAGCCACCGAAGGGGGCTGGAGCTGTGAAAGTGGCTTTCCCCACTTACAGTCCTGGAGGGACCATATAAGTAAAGAGCTTTTTCCAGTGAGCTAAATGGAGTTTTCTGTAGCAGAAATAACTTACGTAAAATAAAAACAAAGTTGGCAGGCAGTATAAAGGCTTAAGCTAATAAATGCAATATTTAGTAGGGTATATTTGCTGCTGAATTTGTAAAGAAAACCAGACTGCAAAGCTGGCAGCAGCGACCAGTTAAGCACAATAAGGAGGAATGTCTTGAAGCACTCAATAATCATAAGAAAGTTTTCTCACCCAAGGACAGACTGAGTACATTGGCCTTTCTGGAATGTAGTCATCTCATACCCATCAATGGCAATTTGAAGGTAACTTGAAAAACTTGACTAAAAATTTAACAAGATGAGATACTTGTTTGTCCCGGTCTATGTGTGAAGGTGGTGCAGAAGAAAATAAGGTCTTGGGGAACCCAGATATTTTCACCAAAAATACTTCACACTATTTACTAACCACAGGTCTTGCTTCCTATGCCAATGTCTGTTTGAAATGCAAACATTTCCTGATCCTTCCTCTACACATTTTCTTAGCTAAATAGCATGTTAAATATTGCATCTCTCTTCCTGCTTTTTTTTTTTATATTTTAATAATTTCATTACTATCTAAATAAAACTAAGCAAATTGATAAGCAGTCAGTAAATATAGAGCATATTTCACTGTACATTACTGTAATTAAAGAACAGAGAACTCTGTGTACTCAGTTGCTTAATTACTTACAGAGAGATTTCAGTGTAGAACTAAGTTTGGTGTAAAAGTTCAATTTAATTACATAGTAGTATGTTTTAACAGTTACCAACTAGTAAAAACTATTCTTCCTTTTGAGAAGGAATTAAAAGTATAGATGCAAAATAGAATTAATGCTTTAAATATTTTTTTTGTGATTTAGAACAGTGTTGCATTGGGTAGGCTAGTCAACATATCTTCTCTTTGTATCATTCTTCCTACATTTCAGCTTACTCTGCTGCAGTTGATAAGAAAAACTATTTCAGATATAACTTTTTTCTTCTGCACCAGATGGGTGTGACACAGTGAAGTCCAGTGATTACAAGAATGTCCACCCCAGCAGCACTTGTCTCATGTAGTATTATTAAAATGTTCTGAGTTGTTTTTCTCTTAATTCTTTTACTCTAAAGGAAGAAAATGTGTGTTCATCAACTGAAAGTAGAATTTTTTTACAAGTGTGGATACCTTAAGCTATATGAATATTAATATTTTAAAATTTAAAGAGAGCAGTTCACGTTCAATACTGTGCCCATCTATTGTACTTTTCAAGATTTAAAATCTTGTACCAACTTTTTCCTATAAAATCATTGCTGTTGTGCTTGCTAGATGGACTTCTTAGTAAGTTATTACCTCTTGGGATAAAAGGGTTTGTCTTTGTTTAAAGTTCCTCTCTTCCCTAAAAACCTATTCTTGACAACTTCTCTTGGATAAATATATAGCTTGTGGGATCCCAAGAACAACTTACTTTTCCTGCTAGAACCAGCATTGCCTCCCTTAGCTTTTTGTGTAGGCAATTGCAAAAATCTGTTTCTCTGTAGAGATGCTAAGCATTTGTTAAGCTTTGCTGGCAGGTGCTTCAGAAGACCTCCATTTGTTCTGCTCACATGAGCAAAACTCTGCCCATGGTAAAATTTTGATTCAGGGACTCCCTCTGGAAGTGAGGGTGATTGCTGCCACTGGAACCCAGTTGGAAACATGAAATGTTCTTTGGTGTTTGCTTCCTCCACGTAAGCTTTTTGTTTGCTGTCCTTCATAGCCTGACCCTTTTGAATACTTCTGACTTGAAGAATTGCTGTTACAATAAGAATTAGGTTCCCATGCTATATACTTAGGATGCTCTGGCAGCCAATTGCCATCTAGAAAAGAGCATAATTATTGCCTTCAGAGTTTGCTTTACACCTCATTCAAATACATTTATCTCCAGTGATAGAGTCATCGATTGCGAGAGAAGGCAAAGAGACAATTCAGTATTTTTGTTAGTAACTCTAATTCTTTATCAACAATAAAAGGTTTGTATTTCAGTTTACCAAAGCAAAAGTTGTCAGGTGAGCAAAAAAGTAGTGAAATCTTCCAGGGCATGACCGGAAGATGAGTCTAGTTCCATTAACAGGTATAACAGGATGAGAAAGTTAACAGGCACAGTTGATCCTAAGGTGTCATTTGGTGATGCCAACAATCCTTCAGTGCTAACCTGAGATGGATTCAGGGTGACAAGTATCTGTTTAGAGATGAACTATAATAAAGCACAACTGAGACAGGTCACCATGTGCCACATAGGAAATAATTGATTACTTAAGCTCGGTGGCATGCCTGATGTCAAATTTCCAAAGCTAGGCAAGATTGTGGGTTTCTCTACGTGTAGCTCAGGCTCTTAGTTCATGTGACATCATTTGCATTTTCAGATAACCATTGACAATTAGGGTCTTTGGTGACTGCAGACAAGACATGTATGAACTAGCCATATCTTAACATGCAAGTCTGACTTCAAACATCTATCTTTTTTCTTATCTTGTTAAAAGTAAATCCACTGTTAGAGACAACTTGAACTCATTTGTATTGGTAATGTAGTAGGGCCATGCCTTAATGTTTAAATTAAAAAGTTTACATCTGGTCTCAGTAGTCAGCACCCACCATATTGCTTGTTGTTCTTTCTTTACAGAACATAGGAAACTTGGCAATCTGACTGTGACCGTGAAAAAGACCGTCCCCTCTCCAGAAGCAATACAGATCCTCTATCAACGCATGAGATATGAATATGAGTTTTATTACTATGTCAAAGAACAATTCCACCTGCTAAAGCGCAAGTTTGGACTGAAGTCTCATATCAGGAAACCAAGTCCCAGACCTGAGTTCTTCATTCCTTCTCCCCTGGAAACAGAAGAACCAATAAATGATGAGGAAGAAGATGATGAAAAGTGGCTAGAGGATATCTATAAAAGGTGATGGATGGAAGAGCTATCCTTTCTCCTCTGGTGATCCCTCCAGCTTTCTTAAGATTTTTTTTTTAATTATTATTAAAAGTAATTCCTTAAGGAACTGAGTTAATACGCAGCGGATTTGAAATGGAACAGAAGAGACCATTCCCACATGCTGGAGCCATTGGGAGATACCTGATTTTGCAGGTTTGATTCATTATACAGTGTTGGCTCTATAGCATCCTTGCTATAGCATAGAGAGAAGTACCGACCATCTGTCACAAAATAACTTTTGGAATACACAGAAGTCCTTCATGAACTGCAAAATACAAAAGAATAGATTAGGCATTCTTGAAAAGCAAATCTTACCGATTCTTGTCTCTCTCTTTGACCAGAAAAAAGTCTTCATGGCATAACACTGTGGCATGAACTACCAGCAAATTAACTACAAACAGTGAGCCGTTTGGGAGGAGTGCCTCTTTCTGTCCAAAGCACACTGATATCCCAGTGGTATGGTCAGAGCCATTGCTTTGTCTTCAGTCCAAAGATACCAAGCTCAGAAGGAGGCTAAGTAACAGCTCTTTGAATTACCTGTGCTGGAGGAGCAAGGCTGCTGTTCTGCCAAATCAGTACTAGTGAGTGTAAGGCAAGCTACAGGAACCAGATATTTTTGGTAAAACCTTCAAGTTCACAGAGTGGGAAAAATTACCAGGTCAGTGAATGGCAACAAATTTAAAATGCTAGGCAGAGCTTTATTTCAGCAGTTGAGCATGTTTCTATTAGACTCTAAAGGCAAAGGTGTAATATATGGGGTTTATGTTCAAGAATGGTATTTTAGATTTTTATTATTCTTTTGGGTCACAAATCCAAAGAGAGGTGGAAAAAGCTACCCATTAAAAAGCTTAGGTGATCTGGAGCTTCTATTAAGTACGACCTGTATTTCTGCAACTGCAGAATTTAATTGTTCACATTTGAATCTGAGCACAGCTTCCCCACCAGCACAAACACCAAACTCCTGCTTTTAGTGTGGCTAGAAGGAAAATTAAAAAATATGAACATACACAGCTTCTCTAGTTGAAATAGTTCAGAATCATCAAACAAGTACAAGAAGATGTGCTCTCTGAAACCAAAGCTGATTCAGTGATAGGTTATTAAGAGAGTCACTGTGAAAGTTGCCCTTGTTAATCACTACAAATATTATCTGCCACTGCTAGAAAAGGGATCGGTGGAAGCTGGTGAAAGAGAAGTAGCACCATTATGTGAGGTGCTGCTGTTGTTCAGGTGGGTGTCCCAGGAGTGGGATTCCCTGTGATGTGTTGGTGTGCTGGCTGCTGGCCAGCCTGCCAGCCCTGGAGGTGCAGTAGTGACAGACCCACAGGCAGCCCTGGGCAGAGCTCTTTGGCCTTCTGCTGCACAGCAGAATAGGGGAGAGTCTGGGGTCTTGATGAGGCCTTGGCCTCTTATGCACCATTATTGCTAGAGAAAGCTGGACTAATAGAGAATAAGAGCAATAAATTCCTGTCCCCAGAGGACAGGAAAGAAGCAGGTACAAGATGTTGCAGCTGCTTGCCAGGATAAGGACAATCCACCTCTGTCTATCTTATATCCTTTCTCAAACATGTACCAGAAAAATTTTGGTTCCTATTCCACAGCTGCCATCTGCAAGGTCATACTTCAGTTTGCTACATCAAGCAAAAGTTATTTTGTGATGGATGAAGCATATAAACTCGGGATCAGCTCAGGTGGGCTTTCCAAGGGTTTCCTCTTCCATGAGCCTGCTGAGAGCCAATAGAAATTATGGTCGATCTTCTTCACCCCTTAGTCGTTACCTATACACAGAGAATGAAAATAAAGGAGAGTTAAGACAAGATGCTAACTTACAGAAAATACTAGGAAGAAGATTCTGTTATCATTATTAACATCCGAGGTTGGTGGTAGCAATGCACTACTGTGGAGGAGCACATTAAAGAAAGCTGAAAATGGCACAGATAGTCACTAACATATTAGCTACAATATGAATCTGCTGCATTGTATATTTTAAGTGGTTTCTATGAAATTACATTGAAAGAGTAATGATTAGTTTACACATTGTGGAGTTGTTATATTTTGGAAAGAACTAGTATTCTCATGTTTCTGTAATTCTGTTTGAATCCTTTTTCTGCCATAATTTTAACAGAATATAGTCACTTAACACATTCACCTTCCTGAGAGTTCACTGCCATTTACAGTAAAGTCTGTTTCTATCTGTTTGTTTATTTAATGGTATCTTCAGCCATCACTACTTATAATCTAAATACAGAAGCTGCTTTGTGATTTGCTCGCTAGGTTTTAATACTGTTGTATTTTTGTAACAATCAACCTGGCCTCTCCTCCTCAAATGGTAGTTCTTAAATTTATCTGGCACATAGCATCTAATATTCCTGGTCCTATGGCCTATTCCTCAGTCATTAAATATATATTTGCTTAACTTTTAAAAGGTACGTTATAAACTGGTAAATCTTTGACTTATTTATTGAAACTTTTCAGCACATTCCAAATTCTAAGTTGCTCAGGAAGAAGCTGATTTAAATAATTATATTTGGGTCTGATGAGTATTCTTTTTAAAAAAAAATCACTATTTGTAAGCCTTTAGTCCACAACAGCTTTGTAGAAAGTGCCAACTTGGAGATCATTGTGAGGGGAAAAAGGTGGCTGTTCAACACTTACAAAAATAAGAAAATATATGTCTACATTAGTTTATCTATAAATGAAGCAACATATGTTTTGGAATTAAATCTTCTCTAACTTATTCACTTCTATCTCCTGAAATATCAGTAAGCCATATGATGCTTTATTTTTCAATCCAATGTTGTTTAAAAATAAAACTTGCACATTTCTTCCTGGTGCCATAGTCCTCTTGCTTACACTAGTTTTCCCTCCTGGATGCAGTGGCTGTGGGTAAGGACATTGGAGTTGCATCCAACAGAGCAGGGTTGGACACGGCATAGGGCATCCTCTGAGCAGTAAGACTGGAGCTGGTTTCTCCTGGGTTATTCCATCTCCCAAGCTATCTGGAGGTGTGAGCTGAGGTCTCAATTGTTTTACTCACCTGAGATGTGAGATCAGTACACTGAAGTACATTGTCCAGTGTTCCGTGGCTGCCAAGTAGAAGTTTTATCCAGGAGAGGAACAACTTAGTCTCCATATACTGCATTTTTACTAGATACAGTGTTTGATGGCCAGGCATAAAAGCTTCAATAGTCAGAGTGATGTTGCAATATAGGTGAAGTATCAGTGCTTTCACACTAAAGAGAGAATCAACTGTTATTGAAATGCAGCATTCTGGAAAAAAAAATAAATTTTAGTCTTAAGTTTCAAGTGACAATGACAAATTGTACCATTTTTTGTTTGTATTCAATTTACTTCTTCTCCACATGAATTTTGTTGGTGATGCAGAGCTAAGTCCAAGTATCTCAAATGTTTTCTACTTGTGTGTAACGAAGTAGCTTGGCAGAACTGAAAGTACATGAAGCTGATGGTGTATTTAAAGCATTCCAGTTTCTTTGCAATTCTTTTATCGCAGATCTTTGATGAATCATTTGAGTGTTAGTATGTAGAATGGTACATTGTAACATAAACACACGAGCAAAGCCACAAATTTTAAATATTGGAGAACACATCTGTGAATTCAAGCCATGGAATTTTTCCTCCTTTCAGTATGTGATACAGTAAAATTGAATGTACAGGTACATTTTTTGACTAGCAAATGAAACCACACTGCATGCTGGCTTTTATCCTCATCAAATGAAAAAACATTGTCTGCCAAAGAACGAAATTCTGCATTCTTTTAAAAAATAAAGACCTGATAATAAATTCTCAGTTCCCAGTAATGGTGCTCTGATCTTTCCCTCCATTTTAAGAAAGGGAACATCTGTGATGTTAGAACATTAGCCTAAAACAACTCAGCAACATTTTTGAGAGCTAAAATACCGTAATACAGTACCACAACATTCCTTCTGTTTTATTTTTAAGGACTCGGCCTTTTTTGCAAGGAGTTCAACTAACGCATAAAACACTGTTGATCAGTCTGCTTGCACGAGCCAAGACCAGAGTAAAGAACTGAGTGTTGCTACATATAGACCTCCACACACAGATTCCATGGGAAAAACAAGGGTGTTACCGAGCCTTGGAAGTGCCTGCCTCCTGGCAAGGGAATCACCAGAACCACCTTTGCAGGATCTGTCCCAAGGGAGGGTTTGCAAAGTTAGGCTCTGCTTAAGTACCCACAGGCATGGCAGGAAGGTGCCTGAAGGCAACTCCATGAGAAATGGCCACTGGAGGGTAAAAAATCTTCACTGCAGAATATTTAATGTGTATGGGAAGGGATCTTAGTTTGAAGGTTAAAAGTTAAATTGCAACCAGCATAAATCAACTCCTGATGTCTCACAGCTGAGAAACAGTACTAAGTGCTCTTTGGTTTGTCTGGAAATGGTGTTGTATGCCAAGCTGCAGTATGCAGTGAAGGTCTAATCTCATTTGTAAGCTTCAGAAGATCAGTGTGTGTGTAATGGAAGTATCAGCACACTGTGATACTTCCAGGTTGTGTCTCAGCACCCATGGCTGACCCTGTCATCTTGGAAGAGCCTGCAGTAAGGTTGTGGGGGCTGTGGGATGGGGGAAGGGAAATGTTTTCTGCAAATACAAATTTGGCCTTGCAGACACTGTAAGATGGCAAGATCTGACCACTGGTTTATTTAAATGCAGATTTTGAATATAAACATGTGGATTTCCTTTTCTGAGTGTGTAAAAGAGGAATGTGAGTTGGTTTTGTATTTAACTGGTTGTGGCTGGAATGGTAAGTTAATAAAACTGCTGTCAGGCAGGCACATTGGAGTGTGCTTTATGCAAAATTTTGTCACCTCTCTGTTCCCTTCTTTGGGCACCAAATGGGAAAAAAAACAAAAGCTAAAGAATTCAGCTATACTGCAGGGAAATTGGTGCTGTGAAAAGTAGAGGTTGACAGGAATACATGGAGGTGATGCTGTTCAGAGATAGGATTATCCTAAATGCAAGGATGATGTAGAGTAGCCAGCAGCAGTGGCACACAAGCTGCTCACTCTGTGGCTTTGTCTTATCTAGAAAACTTGATAACGTGCTTCAAAATTAAATGCTGCTTCAAATTTGTGATTTGTACTGTTAAGAAGGACAGTACTGGATTTTTTACTTTTTCCTTTCAAATTGCCACTTCACCTCACAAACTTGGCAGAGCATAAGCACACTGCCTATTCCTTTATGTGATGTATCTGATGAGCAGGACACGGATTTGATCCTTCAGCAAACCTCTCTCCAAGCGCAAGTGACGAGCAGAGTGAAACAAATCTTTGGCACAGTGTTGCTGCTAACAGGCAGAGTAATATTTAGTTACTGTGCCACAAGGGAAAGTATTCCTGCAGTTCTCCAGTTTACTACAGGAGAATTTGGATAAACTCAAGGGTCATGGGATCATTGTCAGGTAGCAAAAGCCAATTGCATGTCACAGCGTTTAACTCATGGTCATCTCCAGGTTAGGTGCAGGAAAGAAACAGAGGTGGTTACAGTTCATACCAGACACAAGAGTGGCAGTCCAGGCTATGGTTTCCCACAGTACACAGGAGTTTCTCTTCTTGAAGCTTCCTGTCTAGTTGGTGTGGTGGGAAGCTCAGGGAGAGGAAGTCAGCTGCAGTTATTAGTCTCTGACTCTCCTCAAAGGAGACAAGATTCTCAGGATCATGCTGGATAAACATGCTAAAAGAAGTAGCAATGAGGCACCTGTGCTGCATAGAAGAGCTGTGAGACTTTTCCATTTTCACTTTCTCTGTTTGGTTGTATTTGCTGTATTTTCTGGGGTCAGTCTGTGTAGGGTTATTTCTTCACTAAACACATTGTCTAAGCATCTTGGAAAATTATTAATATGCTTATCCTTTTGATCCACAGTGGAGGTAAAGGAGTGCTGTTATCCCCATTTCATACATTGAGAATGGATACAGCAAGTGTCTAAGTGATATTCCAAATGTCACACAGAAAGGTTGTGAAAAAGAACTGATGATAACTTAGCCAAGTGTCTCAATCCTTGAACTTTGTTTTCTGCTGTAAGATCAGCCCTAGATCTTAGAAGGCAAAACAGCTACTATGGAAAATTTTAGTTACTTGGAGTTTTTCCTTAGAAGTGGGAAAACCTAAACATGAATGATGTTTTAGCCTTTCTCCAGACCATTTATTTCCTTTTGGGACAAAGATTAGTTCCAAGTTTTATCTGTTCAGTTGCATAGTAAACACCTGCAGAAATGGTACGGTTGTAAGATGTCACTGTGTTTGGGAATGGTGCTCCTGTAGCAGTTAGGAGGAGATAAGCAGATAGGTGGCTGAAGTCACATCTTGTAAATTTAGCCATTTGCAAGAATACGGTCACATTTTCTCCTGCAATATATGGCACTTGTAGCCTACCTGAGAAGTCATCAGACCTGTGGTCTAATTTGTGTTTTCATTTGGTTTTCCACAGTGCTTAAAAACCACGAAAAAGAAGCAATGCCACACTGTTCAGCAACCACCACAGAGTTAAAAGAGTTCTCACACAGCTCACCAGGTCATCAGTTTTGTCTGATGTACTGATAAACCCGAATTTCTGATAACTTCTACTTACCAGGCAGGGGCATATGCCATATGCCTCTCACCTGAGAGAGCTGGTGCTTTGATCTTTTCCCTGTCCTTCACCTGAACAGCACACATGAGTAAAGATTTTGCCTATATATTCTCAGGAGCATCTTAAGCCCACCTTGCAGGTGTCAGCTTTATTCCTGCTCCAGATCAGTTCTGTTCTGAGCATTGGGACAGGTGCTGGCCTGTCTCTGTTGAAATAACTTAGGCTTAGCAATACCAAGTCTTTCCCCTCTGGCTTTGGGCCAGGAGGCTGAAATGCACTGGCAGGTAAGCCCATCAGGTTGCAAAGAAGCCTCCATAGTGCCAATCCTCCGATGTGAGAAGAGGCACTGAGTGCCAGCAGCAGCCCTGGGGATTGGTGTCTGAGTGGGGTGGGGGAAACCAAGCTGTTTCTCACTCAGGGCGTACTGGTGGGCACTTCTGCCAATCTCCCTTGGACAAGTTTCTGCTAGTCCTGTCAGCACTTGCTGTGGAAAAGAAACTTTTTTCCTGCACTTATTTGGGGAGGAAGCTGGCAAAGAAAACTCAGCAGTGCTTCTCTTCCACAGAGGCTGCAGAGATCCGGGGGAGATGTCAGGGTGCAGGGGAGGGAAAGCAGCAGCCTTCTGCCTGCCCCACAGGGGCTGAGTTCCAAGCTCTTTCTTATCAGACCTAGGCAGGATGGTGCCAGTAGAGGACACTCTGCATGAAAACACTTTTTCCTTGAAGCATGAAAACCCAGCTCCTCACAATGGAGTTTCGTGTCAAAACTTAGCCATGAAAGCTCCTTGGAGCCTCTCTGCACTGTTGTAGCTTTCTATCAGGTTTTGCCCCAAAGAACATGGTTTGGCCCATCAGCACTGGCTGGAAACTGAGTTTTCTAGTGACTCCACAATCCAGCCCTTGTCAGTCACGCCACTTGGGTCTGTGCATGGGGCTCTTTGTGATAAACCTCACTGGAATTTGGAAAACATTCAGCAAATTTGACCTCTACTTTGTCTTACAAATATCAGTGTCAAGTAGCATCATGCATGCATTATCACTCCAAAATGGGGAAAAGGGGATGGTATTAGTACAGTCAGCTCTGATTTTCCAAAACAATATCTTCTGAGTTAAAAAAGCTTTTTGCTTCTCAAAAAGAAAATACAATGTCCTCTTTTTGCCCTGGGACTGGGGCTTCTTCTCAAACTTACTCTAAATCCTTATGGACATGGCCTGGTCAACCCAAAGGAGCCTAAAGTGTTTTCCTCTCTTGTAGGCAGAGCACTATGGCAGCCAGCTCCAGCAGGAAGGCAAGATGAGACCCAGCCCATTTCTCTGTTTTCACCACAGGAAAGGGAACAGAGGCATCGTAAAAACCTTGGCCAAAAACAGTTCTGACCAAAGTTAAGAGCTTCTTACTCCTCTACAAAACACAGAAGTGCAAAATAGATAACAAAGCTCACTGGGGCAATCCAGGGAAAACGCATCTAGCTGCAGGTCAGCATCTTTTCCAAAAGCTGCTGCTCCTGCTAACATAAGTACAGACCCCTTCTTCCCTTGACGGATGGATGTGGTGCCACAGTGTCCCCTCCCTGGCCCCCGGCAGAGCTGCCCAGGCCATGGGGCCGTGTCGGTGCTGTGACAGGCGGCAGATGAGGATGCCGTGGGAGCCCTGCGCAGCTGGCGGCCCCGCCTGCTGCCGAATCGCTGTGTGGCCCAGCTAATTGCTTAAAGCTTTCCTTCTCCCCTCACCACGAACGCTGGGGTGTAGTATTTATCTCCTCTGCAAAACTTTTATGAGAATTGGTAAGGTTTAGTAGAATTCCTGAATAACAGGGATCACAATAGCTGCAGTGGAGCCAGACTATGCAAACCCAAATGTTTGCACTGTTGGCCTTATTTACACAGTCTCTGCAGGGAGGAGTAGTGCTCCTCTGCCTCCCAGCAGTGTCTGTGAAAAGTGCCCCAGACCCCTTACAATCCAGCTGAGGTGCAACTGCTCAGTGCCTACAGAGCTTTGCCCTCCACCTCCCTCCTTTTTCAGTCCCAGGCTCAGCAAAGAGCATGGGCACCATTGGAAGACAGCTGAATGTAGCTCTCTAAACTACTTTGGGACTTTGCACTTGTTTGTCTTCCTCCAGAAATAATAAGGAGGTCCTGAGAGCTTCCCTGGGGAAATTTTCCATGGGAAAAACTTCCTTGCTTTCCTACCAGATAGTGAGCTAGAAA